GTCGTCTCGATGACCTCGTAGACTCGTGTGATGTGAGGGTGCATCAACAATCTCACGATTTTAATCTCTCTTCCAACTGCACCAAATAAATATATAATCATTATATCTTAACTATGATTTATAATTAAGGTATGTATCTCATTTCATATTTTACTTAACTAAATTGAGCGAAAAAATTGCAAATTCACGTTTTCAAACATAACACTAAAGCAAACTTCAAAAATTGATTCAGAAAAAATATAAATCACGCGAGCAAACCAACTAATAAATAGTAAACACAAAAAAGGCGCGAACATACATTCATTCACATTTTTTTTAATATATATATACCTTTTTCCTCTATCGCCTTCCTCCTAATTTCTCTGCGATTAAGAATCTTAATAGCAACTGTATGACCAGTCAATACATGTTCAGCAATTTTAACCTTTCCAAACGCACCGATTCCGATCGTTCTTCCAAGCTTGTAATTAGGTAATAGTACACCATCACTTCCTCCCGATCCATCCATTTTTTTTATTCCTTAAATCCGAAACAAAAAAATCAGAACAAAAATCAAAATCAATCAAATTAAAGCGGCTACAAATTGTGAAAAGTAAGCGTAAAACCCACTTGATTGGATCGGAACTGCCTCGTCTTTGGTTGTTTTTTTTATAGAATTCGATCGGAGAAGACGGACGAGCAAAGATTCTGAGCTTTAAAGATTGTGTTCGAAACGGGATTTTCTTGGATTTAAAAAAAATGTTTTCAGTGTTTATAAGCAAGAAACGAATGAAAGACAAGTGAAAGAATATCTACATAGTTTGTTTTATTTTTAAAAAGTCTCATAACAGTAAATAGGATCAAGTACAACAAAATTAAGGGTAAAGTATAGTAATGGTCACTGAACTTTTCTAAAGATTGCATTTAGGTCCCTCAACTTTCAAAACTTATAATACAGTCCTCCAACATTTAGTCCTTTTGCAATATGGTTCCCGACATAACCGGCCGTTTGACGTCGTATGCACTATGGTCACTGAACTTTTCAGACGCTTGCATTTAGGTCCTCCAATTTTAAAACTTGTAACATAATCATCAATTTTATTCTAAACCCCAAATTTCTTTTCGATCTCGAATTTCCTTTTTCGCTTCTCTCTTCTCATTTCCAATGTAACATTTCAGTCGGCGATGCATGGGAAATTCTAATCTAACTTTGAATTCTGTGGAGGCGTTGACTTGAATAAGGGTCCATTGAGAGAAGACCCAACCAAGGGACTATCGAGACCATCAATGATTCAAGGTGTAATGTTATATACATGTCATTTCAGGTGAAGCATAGATGTTCGATGAAATGCTTGTGAGAAAAAAATGGGATTAGAAATGTAGTGTTGACAAATACTACTAAGATGAACTAAGTATCATTGTTGAAAGTCACCAACAAAGCTGGAATTATTTTGTATAAATGACATATAATAATTTCTTTGTTTAATCCTTGTGGTTAAAGATTTTCCAGCAGATGATAAAATATAATGAAGTCCCAAACAACTCCTTCGCCTCTCAGTCTCTTTCGCTCACATGTACTCTCGTTTGATTTTTGTTCTCCAGTTTTCCGCCATGTAAAATTATAAACCGAAGTAGTGCTCTGTCTTTCATCTTTTTATTTACAAATAAAAAATGGAGGAAGAATTCCTGGAACGCAACACCGATTACATTTATTTCTTAGCCTCTCTCCTCACTTGTAAGGAGGTATTTATTTTCTCTTTTGGGCTATCAGGAAGTAAGCTTTTCCTCTATCGCACTTTCCCATTTTCAGCTCGCATTGTGTGTTTTTTGTTGAAATTTTTATGTTTCTGGAACTGCATGTCAATGATATGGATATTCAGTGTTAGTTTTGAACCAAAACCATCAAATTTTATTTCTTTCTTCTTAATCAAAACCTTTAGTACTCTTTATGAAAGATATGTAGTCTATCAGAATATAAGTGAAAGAGGGTCCTAGGCTATTTTTTTTTATCTTTTTGTTTTGTTTTTCTTTAAATCAGGGAATTGGTTGTGAGTATCAACATAGTGAAATCGCCAGGCTCAATCCGAGAGACTACTGGTACTAGTTTTTTGGGAATTTTATTGATCCGACTTGTGGTTTTCGGCGTCATGTGAGCTCGTATTCTTTTTAATAAGTTTTAAAAGTTGATTATGAGACTGATATGTCGTGAACGAATTGAATTTTTTTTACATGTTTTGGAAATTTTACAGTTGAATCTGTATTGAATTATAGCTTTAGAAGACAATTCTATATGTATGCAACTCGAAAGGCATAATGACAGAGTATTATATTTGGAGCAGCTACTTGATATGTTGCCTGGTCATTGCACATTTGCACCTTCATTTCTGGCATATATATGTTTGTTGCAGTGTTCTCTATGTTTTACAGTGTCTTTTATTTCTGACATGCCATGAATTTTCAAGAATTATGGGGTCTTATGATTTTAGTTTCACTATCTGCTTTAGAGTCTCATCATGTTTGGCTATTGAGGAACATTAAACATGGAGCATTAGAAGCAATTATATGTTAAAAGGGTAGGCCATTAATGCATTTGCAACTGGTAATGTTGTATTTGACATCTAATGTCTATCTTAAACAACCCATTTGTCGCCTTAGCTTTTGGAGTGACTATGACTGAACCTCTTTCCTTTTATTTATTAAGTCATCCTTTTGAATAAGTTATTAATTGATATTCTTGGTTTATTTTAGTTATTGCTTGGTTGTATGTAGTCCTATGAATTAAAACTCTTTACTATTTTCGCAGCCATTAGATGTGCATGCTCAAGTTCCATCCAAACCTATTGGATTGTCATACCAAAGTGCGACAGCTACGAACAAGACAAATTGGCCTTGTTACTTTTACTTCAACGGTTTATGCAATAACCGTGATAGGTGTACTTTTCATGTTCAAAGTGCGGCAAACGTTGGATGTGCATGCAATAAACCTCAAATTTATATTAAAGTAAACACTGTCAAATAGCAAATTCATATTCAAAATTCCAAAATATTTTAATTATATTCTAAACCCCAAATTCCAAAACACTTTAATTATATTCTAAACCTTAAATTGAACTATTTTAGAATTTAAGGTTTAAAATATAATTGAATTATTTTAGAATTTAGGGTTTAGAATGAAATTGAGGACTTTATTGCAAGTTTTAAAAGTTGAGGGACCTAAATGCAAGCTCTTAAAAAGTTCAGTGACCATATTGCAAACGATGTTAAACGGTCTGTTACGTCGGGGACCATATTGTAAACGAACTAAATGTTAGAGGATTATATTACAAGTTTTAAAAGTTGAGGGACCTAAATGCAAGCTTTAGAAAGTTCAGTGATCGTTACTATACTTTACCCTAAAATTAACTATAGTTTTTATTGTTATTAATATGGGGTAAATATATAATAATATATTGTTCAAAGATAACTCTCAACCCCAGGCATTCCAAGTGCTCGAACCGACGTTGAATGCTCATACTCCTGACATTCCTAGTACTCAAACCCGAGATCTCAAGAAATAACAACAATTTCTTTACTACTGAAGTCAATAAGATTCATAAAATATTAATAGAATTATGATGCAACAGTTTAGTGTTGACGTAAAATTTTAGTTTATATACAAATGTTTCATTAAACTTTAATATACTTAAATTTTAGACATTAAATTTTAATTTGTATATAAATTTAGTTATTATTAATCAAATTTCGTTGTTGTCGATTAATCATTATTATTTATTCTAAGATTGGTATCAAATATTCAGATTTTACTTCTCTCTCTTCTTTCTAAATTAAATTAAATCCACTCAAAACCGATAAAAAATATATTTAAAGAGTTAAGACTCTAATGCTCTAGTTCTAGTTTGAACACTTTTTTCGGATTTGAAGTGTTTGTTTAAACATCTAAGCGGTGAAAAGCATTCTTACAAGAAAATAAATAACACGCCTTGAAACTAAACCTCATTGGTTGATTATCGGAGGAGATCGAAGTATTAGAGTATTGAACATTTAGATGAATTTTCTATCGTTTTTGAAAGGATTTCATGAAAAATCAATTTGATGAGAAAAAAAGGTGTAATACAAACATTTCAATATTGATTTTGTTGTGAATTTTCTATCGTTTTTGAAAGTATTAGAGTATTGAACGGTCATATTTATGAGAGAACCTATATTCTTATAAAATACTATTTCTTACATTTTTTATCTTTTAGTTGTATGTCCAAGCAGAAAACATTAAAAAGGATGTGGCATTGACGTGGTTTCAATTTGGATGATGTGACATCGATGCGACAATTGTTAGTTTCTTTCGCCTGGATGATACATAAATTTAAATGGGTAATCTACATATTTAGTCACCAACTATTCATGCTGGTTTGTTTTGGTCACTTAATTATTTCCTTTAAAATCATACTTAAAATTACGTTTTTATTCTATTTTGATCATCCATCGTTAAAAAATAAATCAAAAAACTAACATGATATTTTTTTTCAATAATGACATGATAAATTTCTCTCCAAGCGAAATGAATGTTAAGAAAAATTTTACATGAATTTAGGGATGAAAAAATTATTCGGATTTGACAAGTTTCGACTTAATTTGATCTTATAAAGATTGAGTATTTTAAAAATTGAGTTCATGTGGGTTTAGAAAAGGATAAAGTGAGGATCGACCAGCTTCAAATTTAGAGTAAAAAAATTCTTAATCCAGTCTAAATATATAATTATGGAAATGCCATTATTGTTTAAAATGTTACAAAATTACCACTATATATTACGGTTTCATTCATCGCTTCTCATTACATTTTCATTTATCATCTGCTCATCTTTCTCTCCTAATCTCTCATTTTTCCCCCTTCCGGCTTCAATGGCTTCATGAATTTCGTTAATTATTGAATAAACAGAAACCAATGCAGGCCGGATTCAGGTGTTGATATTTAATTTTTGAGTCGGGGTCGGGACGGCTAAAAGTTCACTCCCTCCCCGTTGCCATTCCTACCTGGTTTTGCTTTAAGTGACAAGTCGATTGCATTCAAAATTAAAGAATTTATAGCATTGTAAGGTTGCTTTAAACAGGTTCTAACTATAATGTAACACAGTTCAGGGAGGGGATGAATAAACTGGACGAACATCACACGTACTAATAATCTGGAATAGAAGCAAAGGTGTATCCTTCACCACCCCTCCAAGAATAATAAGCTATCCGAGTCTCGTAAAAACCTGCAGCATACAAATTCCGATAAAAGAAAAACAGTGTCAGTCAAGCTCTTTCAAAGTTATTCAATAAAAACTTCGCCTGCAATGCCAATGCCATAGATTGTAATCCTCATGCACTATTGCAGGAATGTTTGTTTCGATCGAGGTCGTAATGAAATAAGTAGTGTTGGATCAAATACATATAGAGTTTTCCATCCAAACAAAGGGGTTGATGCCATCTAATGTTACTCGACTCTTCATTTTTACTTTTGAAGTCTTCGGGTTCGACCAGTGTTTGATGCATATCTGGACATCGGTATATGTATATGGTCCTCTAAGTTCATGGAAAAACTTCGGAAAAAATAACAATACCTATGCCAAATACATACCCTTATCCAACAGTCACACCTAAATCTAATAACCTACATGCCATCATCACCCAACACTTCACAAAGCGCAGCAATATGTAAAAGATAGATAATGAAACACTATTGCTCTATGATCTATAAATGGAAGGATCGATACTTATGCTTTAGCAATTTCATAACTCTTATGCTTTAGCATACATGCTAAAACAATGATTTCATAACAAGCTCTATGCTACAGCATTCAACTATTATTCAATGACGATAAACAACTTCCCTCTCCGAGAACCCGGACTAATTTCACCATCATGTGACAAAATTTCATTAACAATATGGTACTACAGAAACAAGTTGAGTATAACTATAAAAAATGTATTAAGTTGTTAAACGAAATCCCTCTTTGAACAGTTAAAAACACTTTCTGTTGAATCAGCCGTGTAACTGGAAGGAAAAAAAAATTTCGGAGGACAAAATCGCATACCTGGAAGGAAAGTAAGAATGCCAAGGATTAAGAGTCCATACGCCTGCGATTGCTCTCCTCCCATATGCCCAGTGAAGATGAAAAATAAAAGAAAAAGAAGCAAGCACCCTAGACAAAGCAGAAAAAGTGCAAGGGCAATGGATTTCCATGGGACTCTATCGAAGGCTTTCGGTGCATAATCAAACCTCGGGTCGTAACGCCTTCCACCATCATAATCATCGTCGTCTTCAACAGCTAAAGGACTGTAACGAACATGACGCCTAGACGACATAATTGTTAAACACTCAACTATCTCATAGGATCCTTTGCAGATAAACCAGATTCTTCTAAACAAAAAAAAAGACACAAATTTACTCATTTTCGATATCAAATAAAAAAGTTGAGAAAGAATCAAATAAATACACCTATAAACACTATTTACAACTAAATGCAACAACGAACAAGAAACTATATTATTGCTTAAAAAGCACATAACCAGATCATCACTGAAAATCCAAATCCAAAGAAACAACTCAACAAGTTTAATAAACATAAAATTTAGCAGTTGATACTAATTAAATCGATAAAAACCACGCTGATTAACATCAAATTTGCAGTTATTTTATATTGATGATTTAGCAGACAAAATAAAATCAATAAACAACCAAATTTTCTCTTTTTTCAGTTTTTCAGCATTAATGAACCTATCTTTCAATTATATATTAAATTGGGTAACCATTAAATACAAGAAAAGATAGAAATTTAAATAACTCAAAAACTAAAATCCCCATATAATTCAACTCTCTAGAAACCTAGTTGCAAAAATATCTCATCGTAAGATTGATAACGAAAAGAAAATATAGAAAAATAACCATAAAAAAGGACTTACAAAGGAGAATAAATGAAATTTGATCGCAAATCTGTACAACGAATGAATCAAGAATCAAACTTGTTGAAACTTCAAAGCAAATGTTCAAGATCGGAAGCGAGATTTTGTTTTACGTGATATGACGAAAATACCCTTCTATGTTATTTTAGATTCGTAAAAGTCCTTCGACAGACATCGTAAAACTATGTAATAGAATCTTTCTCTAATCCCTTTTTCTTTGTTTCATTATAAATTTTATCCCCTATTTTACAAAACTTTCGAAGTTAACCCCTCTACTTTCAGTTTATCAAAATTTAATCCTCATTCTACGAAAACATACCCTAAAATATGTGTGTCATCTCATTATTCTGGACCCTCAATTATATAATATCTCTTTATACTTATTCTCGAAAAGAAAAAGGAAAAGTTGAGCATCAAAATTAAAAAAATAGGTTTGCAATAACATCCCTTGAAAAATAAAATAATGAAATCAAACAAAGTTTGTCCTACTTTAAGGAAAGCTTCTTTTGTCTTGAGAAATCTTAATAAAATTTAAGGGTTGAGACATTGAATTTGAGGAATAAAATAAAAAACTCTGGTTTAGTTGAAGTGTCCTTTTCTTTCGTTTCTGGGAGGTGGAAGGTATCTGGGTAGTTCTATTATACAACAGCTTAATATACAGCTAAGGAAAAGTGCTACCATAAATGTTAATGTATTTTTAATATTTTTGATAAAGCGTTATCTAAAACATTATTTTTCTACCGGAAATGTTAATTTCGCCACCTAATTTCCAGTAAAAAATAATATTTTAGGTAGCGCCCAATATTAGTATTTCTTGTAGAAAAAAATATTTTAAATAGCGCTTTACTTGAAATGTTAAAAAAATATTAATATTTTCGATAACGTCTTTTTTAACTTTATATTAATTGTGCTTAACCTTAGACATCACCAAGGTACCTGGTCAAGTTTTTTAATAACAATAATATATTCCTATATTAACAATTCCCAACATAGATTGGAATTTTTTATATTTCCAAAAAGTTAGTCATCTCAAGTAGCATTTTGTATGGAAGATATCAAAAAGCTTAATAAAGTTGACAAAATCATTTGGGGTGAAAGTGAGGGGCACCAAACCCTAACCTTTCCCCAAGCAATTTATTATTTTTAAAATTTTCATTTAGTATATATAGTTTTATTTTCTTACAATTTAAGCTTATAGTATATTAAAATCTTAATTTTCTTCAATTAGTCGATACTTTATTGATTATGCCCATCTTAAAAATTTATTTGTGTCTACCCGAACAAAATATAAATATTGTCAGTATGTTTATCCACCTTCAAAAATATTTATAGATCTCCCATTGAATCTAAATAGTGATTTCAATGTGAAAAGAATAATACGTTTTCTATTAATGCTTTAGATTCGAACAATATTATTTATAAGATGTGTGTGAATTTTATTTACTATAGAACGAGTTTAGAATGTTTAAAAAAGTATTAATAGGTAGTTTCTTTTTTACATTTGTAATCACTTTTATTCGGAACAATAATAGAATATGAATTTAGGTGTTTTTTTTTTGGAACAATTCTTATTTAAGAGAGGGAAAATGAGAGTTTTATTTCTAATGTATATTGAACCTACAATCTATAAGAGTCGATAAGTGTCAACGAGTTTGTCTAGTTTGAGTCTTTCTGCCCCTTTCCTTCCTTGTGCGACCCAATTGCGGCGACTTTGACAATGGCAAAAAAGTAGTGGGAGAGGTGAAGAATAGGATGTACGACTTGGCTAGTCTTCCTTTCTGGATGGAAGAACTTCGCCTTTCTTCCTCTTCCTGAAATGAAATGGATTAAGACGAATGCTCCCTCTCACATTCCCTCGAACCCGAACGTAATCCTCCTTGCACGCCACTAAACGACGTTATTTAACACTATAGTTCGCCCAATACAAAAATAACATCCCACATCGTTACGCCTTTCGTACGGGTCGGAACTTAACTCCTTAGGAACTTGGGTTTTAAAATCTCAGCAACTTGTAATGCGGTAAGTTAAAGCACTTTAACCAAAGTCTACTTGTTTTTCTTTTTTTTGTTGTTGCAATTATTGTTCTTCAATTGTTAATGTTATTATTATTGTGCGTTAACCGTGGGTGCACGTGAGCCTTCATGCACTCTCATATCATGTGAACATTTCGTTCTTCCGTACTCTGTTCTACATGTTTAAGGGTTAGTCAACTCATTTTATCTTAACTGAATCTGATTTTATATAATTATAGTAATATTTTATATTATTATTTTATAATTTAATAATCAAACTTTGAACAAGTAAATTTATTGTCAGCTGTTTGTAAACAATTATATCTATAAACTTACACATATTGCTTCTTCCTTGATTTTTCATATTTTAGAGGCACGTGATTTCATGTTCTACGCTTTACTTTCATTAAACGACCGAGGTCTATCCAGTTATATTCAAAGACATATATACGGTCTTATGTTAGATGATAAATTTATAATTTAAAAAAATGAACATATAAAATTTTAAGGAAGAGCAAAAACATATTTTAAATAGAAAATAGAAAATTATTTCGAAAATAAAGAATCTCTTAGTTATGAATTGACTAGATATTTTCTTCTATGTAATTATTTTTATTTGAAATCAATTTTAATGATTTATTATTATTTTTAAAAAGTGTTTGTATGAATAAATTGGATTAAGTTTAAATTTAGCTTTTATTTGTAAAAAAAGTTAAAATAAGAAAAGAAGTGAAATATGTGTTGCACTTTAGGAGGGATGACATGAATTTTATGAGTCGAGCATTCTCATTTGGGATTGACAATTGATCCAAAGTAATGTGTGAATATTTTTTTTTTTACAAATTCAAATATTAAAATTGAATAATAATATCAAAATTCATTAATTAATCAAGTGATTAAAAATATGTATTATTTTATTTATAAATTCAAATTTAATATTTTTTTAAAAAAATACAATATTTTTGTATTTAGTATCGAGATACGGTCGGCAAAATACATAGGACCGAACGTAGGATGGATGATTCCGACTTGAAACAATTTTACTAGTACACTTGTAGTTTTGTTGACCAATTTACTTTAAGTGGTTAACGAATCTGAAAAGAAAAGAAAAGAACATGATCACAATCCAGTAAAAGAAAAAGACCGAAGCTTTAAAACAAAAGCTAAATTCGAGGAGACAAGGAACGAAACTCCATCTCCATTTGTTTAAACAAACCATCCAAATCTCTTCTCTATTACTTTGCATTCTTTCATCTATTTATTTATTCATTCGTTTCTCCCATTCTTTGAACACCCCCCTAAAGAAAAAGCACAGAGCTTGCAGATTTTTGTTGTTTGATCTTCTAACCCGATCCGACCCGGCCTTGATTGTTCATTGTCTGCTTTTCTCAGCTGAGAGATCCCATTTCTGGAGAGAAAAGAAAACGATCAAGGTAATTTTATTCATGTTTTCAGGGTTTTGCTTATAATGTCTGCTTATATTCCTTTAACATTGGGTTTTCTCCCTCTTTGTTAAGATATTGGCTTTTCCATGTAATTTCTACTTTAGATTCAAAGTTTATGTTTTTAGTTAGCAACATTGATAATTAATATTCATTTCAATAACGCTTTTTCTTCTTCTTCTTCTTCTTTTGGCAAAGATTTTTGCTTGTGGACATATGATTGATTGATTCTGCGTGTATTGTGTATTTTCCAAATTTCAGTTTTGTATTCCAAGTTTCTATGTATTTTCCTTTACCATTTTCTAAGAAATAGTATATATTATTAATATTGTCTTTGTCAAGTCTTTTGACATAAGTTTCTTTGAAGTTTGAACATTGTTTTGCTTCTTTTCATTGAACAAAAACAAGTATTTCCAATTTAGGAGCGTTTATAACAATAGTTTTTTACAATTAAAAATACTTTAAGCTCCTTTCTGATGTGGGACAGATTATTTTCTTTTCTGCTCAGTTTATATCCTTAACCTCGTTGGATATGGTGTGTATGTTGTCTTTACTCTTCGTTTTTTTCCATTTATATTTCTAGTTAAACTTCAAAGAGGTCCTGCTTCAAGTTTAAGCACTGGTTTCCTTTGCATTGATCATCTTACGTTTTTACAATTCCCTTTATATTTTTGTTGGATTTCTCAAGGTCGGTTCCCTATATATTCACCTATATATTCTAGTTAGACAGATTATGTCTACGACTAATTGCTAGTTTTTTTTTAATCTTTTTACAGTAAATTCGGCTTCTGGCGAAAACGGCTGGCATATCTATTGTTAAACAATATTTGCTCTTAACCAAGGTTCTGCAATTAAACAGTTTTGATGGGGAGTTGTGTATCAGCACCTCAGAAAAGAATCAGGACTGTGAGGAGATCCCGTCGTCGCATCCGGAAATGCCGTGGGAAGGGTTCCGGTTCTATGACAGATGGAACCAAGAAAAGGAATAGTGACTCTCGTGTAACGGATTTAGCTGTTAGCGGATATTTACATTTGGAATTTGAGAACGGTACGACCACTACTCTTGGAAAATCTGAGGTTTCGAGTCCTGCATTCCATCTCACTTTTTGCAGTGGCATCTGAGTCAAATTGATGCAAATGATAGATCATTTATTTTCATTGATATTAGTAGTTTTTGCGGAAACATTTTGCTAACTTATATAGAAGGTTACCGAAAACGTATGAAGAAAGGGTGTGAAATGCCTTCCCCCCCCCCCCCCCGAAATTGAAGGTGCTATTTCTATGGTTATAGGAAAGGAGTGTAAATGATAGTATAACAAAAGCATTTTTGCAATTGAACTGTGGGATGAGAGTTGGATTAGTATATACCAGAAATGAAAATGGAAGTTGACCAAGTTTCTTTTCTGCAGCAGCTTGCCAAGAGGATGCTTGGTTCGATTCAGTTAGTATTCTTGAATCTGATTCGGATGATGATTTCATCAGCATTCAAGGAGGTAACAGATGATTCAACCTTTTCCTTATCGTAATTTAAAGTTCTGTAGCAGAAAATAAAGCATGATGACATAACAGTGGAACAATTTGGAGTGAACTATCAATCACTGTATAAAACTACTAATTATCTCGTCCTAGTTTTTTCATATCTGCTGAATTTTAGACGATGGTGGGGGCTAAATACGTCGCAAACTTATGATTGCTAGTTTTCTCGGTGTATTACATCATAGAGTTTGTGTTGTCTAGCACACTTCATATGGACTGTTTAGTTGTTGTGTGTGCAATTCTATTCATGCAATTTTGAATGGACAACAGGAAGATTAATCATCGATGACTGTCTTATATATGTAACTTTGTCTGGATTTTTCTTTTCCAGATGGTTTTCCGTTGGGTAATTCCATTGGGAATATGTCAAGTGGACAGCTGCTTCAGTATGAAGGAAAGGCAGATGAAATTTTTAATAGGAAGAAGAAACCATTAGATCATCGATATGGAAGCTTTAAAGGTCCGAAAGAGGATAGGCGTAATTCTGAAGAGAAAAACTTAAGATCGGAATTATCAAGAATGCTTCCTTCTGTGAGTTTCAACGAGAAGAATTTAACATCGGGTTCGGCTCCACAATCCCAAAAAAAGAAATCAGCAGTTTTAAGGCTTTCTTTTAAGAAGATATCATGTGATGCAGAAGACAAACTTGAAGACTGTAAGTAATTTGAGTCAAGTTTATTTCCAAAGTTCTATTTAGTACTTTTTTTTAGTTCAATGATTGATCCTAGAGTAGGAATGTTACATATAATTATCAACTTCATCGATAACAGGTACATCAAAACGATTTTTATATCATCCCAGAGCAGGATATATAATTCAATGTAGCAAGGATGAGAAGGTGAGTCGAGGATGTTGGTCCAAGATTCCACCCTCAACTTTTAAACTTCGAGGCGAGACCTATTTCAGGTATGCTAGTAATTCTCACCCTTGGCTTAGCTTATGTGTTAGTAGCTTTAAATCGAAGTTCTCAACTGTTGATTTACTCTGTACAGAGATAAACGGAAGTGTCCTGCACCACATTACTCCCCATATACTCCAATAGGCGTTGACTTATTTATCTGCCCGAGAAAGATAAATCACATTGCGCAACATATCGAGCTTCCTAATGTGAAAGCAAAATGGAAAATCCCTCCTCTTCTAATTGTTAATATTCAGGTATATTTCCCTACAGATTAATCATAAATAAAAATGCTTCCCGGCAACTTCTTTTAAGCGATTTGTATCGTCTCATGTCTTCTCTTGCAGTTACCTACTTATCCCGCTGCAATGTTCCTCGGTGATGGTGATGGTGATGGTGAAGGAATGAGTTTCGTTCTTTATTTCAAAGTTGCCGAGAATTTTGACGAACTCATCTCTCCACAGTATCAGGAGAGCATCATGGTAACATTATAACATTTCACTTTCAGAAAGCATATATTTATTTGATTTGTATTCTATTTAGGTTATGCCCTCAGCCAGCTATGATTCTATAGTGTGGTATTGCGGTATTACGAGGATAGGCATTTGTAATATCCGTAGTCTTGGTACTATCTGTTGAGACTTTCTTCTTTTGCTCCAGAAATTGGTCGATGATGAGATGGAAAAGGTTAAAGGGTTCGCAATAGACTCTATTGTTCCCTTCAGAGAAAGGCTAAAGATCATGGCCGGCTTGGTTAATCCTGATGATCTCAATTTGAGTTCTACCGAGAAGAAACTCGTAAATGCTTATAACGAAAAGCCGGTTCTCTCACGCCCTCAGCACAGTTTTTATAAGGTATAGTATAAGTTTCTACTTTGTTCGTTGTCTTTGTCAGTTTTTAGTTGAGCCGATAGATAATGAACATAAACACCAAAAATTGTCTTACGACGTTACTTAAGACACACCAACCTTGTACATCGGGCATAACTTGATTCGCTGACATATTTTGTTGACCCTTGAGATAATGCAAACGGTTTTAAGTCTTGAAGCGTGTCTGTTCGAGTCTTGACTACCAGGTCATTAATAGGATCAGTTACGAGGATGTTTATTCTATTTCTCATGCAGGGTTCTAATTACTTTGAGATTGATCTGGACATTCATCGCTTCAGTTACATATCGATAAAGGAGCTTGATTCGTTTCGAGATCGATTGAAAAATGGAGTTCTTGATCTGGGTTTAACAATCCAGGTAACACGCACTCTGATTGCATATGATATCTGGCATGTTTGTTAAATGGACAGGTTAATGACTGAACAAGGGCTGTGCTGGCCGGTTCGATCATTTGTTTCACAAAACCTACCGACCTAACCTACTTAAACTGATTACTATATCCAACTTAGACTGCAACTGATCTAACTGAACCCAATTTGACTGACTAATGTCATTACGGTCAGACAAGTTCGTTATCACCGGCTTCGGCACAGCCCTTCCAATGACTGATTATCATTAAGTTACAAAAATGATAAAAAACTGAGGAAATTATACTTCGAATATGGTAATCTTCCTTCAGACTTGTTGATGTGTAACTTCGGATAATGATCTCTGGCTTTGATCGACAGGCACAAAAACAAGAGGAACTTCCGGAGCAAGTGTTGTGCTGTTTGAGACTAAACAGGATTGACTTTTCTGATCACGGCCAAATACCGACGCTCTGGACAGTTTTGGATCCTTAATTAGGTTGCCTTTGTCAAGGTGCAGAATACCAAATTTTGGAACTCTTGTATGGAGGGATCAATTTTATTTTGTTGAAGCTTACTCATTATAATGCCAGCGTTACTGCAAACATCTTAACGGAATGCTTGATGTCTCATTACAGTAAAAATTAAAGCGGTGTTTACATCGTATTGTTTCAATTTTTATACGAATCCATATCAACTTGTACTGAACAATTTCGAGAGGTGTCAACTGTCGATTTTGTTGTATGTTTTGTTCCCGAAAAGTGATCTTATGTTTTCTGAAGATTATGAAAATATTTGGCGACTCTCTTTGATATCGATAGTTAATAAAATCAGGTATGGGCATTCGCACAAGGAGCAGGCAATCCCCTTATTAGATCAAACTGCTGACGATGTTTCTATAACCATTGATGGGGTGCTTTATATAAAGATTTTAGACCCTTTATTGGTATCTTATGGCGTTGAAGATCCTATATTTGCAGTCATTCAATTAGTGCAAACTACGATTCAGAGTGAACTCGGGAAGATTACGCTCGACAAGACTTTCAATGCTATTAACCATGGGCCTTTGAAAACATATTGGGGACTCGAGTTCTTGTGATATGAGATCAAAAATATATCACCACCTGAGGGCATAAAGATGTCGATGGACCTCCAAACAAAAGCAGAATGAAGGAAATGCGAGTTGATTCTGAAATCTGAGGGGCCAAGACAAGCGAGTATTAAAATCGCTGATAGGAGTAGTAGTTCGGTGATTTTGAAATTTTGAGCAACGGGCAAAGCAGAAGCTACACTCTCATATGACAGTCGATAAGGGATGTTGTAGTCCCAATCGGCTCGAGTTGGGGCAAGGGAGTGATGGCAATGCAGGTTGCAGACCAGTATATCGAAGCATACGGTGAGCTAGCTAAGAAGAGAACCCCAATCATAAATAAAATGTTATCTTCTTGATTTAAACCAAAAACTTCTCCCATAATTAAAACTAGCGATAAAGAAATACGATGAACCCCATGAACTTAATTTCACTTCCAGAACTCAATAACATTGCATTTTGCCACAAATTCAAGCAATAATGTCTCCCAGAGAGTAGCCATTTTTCACATGCTTCTCTATCAACAAACCCCTCCTAAAACTAGTTTCATGTCAACACTTTCAGGACAAAAACACCAATAATTTAAGAAGAAATGGAATATGGATTCTTTCTATTTGGTTTTCACAATTGATGAAGGAATTGTCTACATTAGATTTTGTCCGAAACTACCAGATTCGAACAAATGCATCCCACAGAGCAGCAATGGCAAAAGCAGCTGGTAAAACAAGCTGACCTCTGTAGAAAACAGTACTTGGCGAGGAGTCACTCTTTTCGTTCAACGGAGCAGCTTTAGGAGGTGGAGGCAGGTTCTCGACACGGACTGCTAGTTTCATGCCGCCGTAGCAGAACCCTTTGCCACTAATGAAATAGTAATGGCGAGTCACATTAAGCGGAACCACATCCCTTCCAGCTCCAGTTGTCCAGTTGTGAAGTGGATGATCAGAATTGCATGACTCGTAGTCTGTCTTGTTCACCTCCAGAACATTCATCTGGTTCCGATCGTATACGAAGACTAGGAAATAAAGGAACAAACACAAACAATCAGATGCCATAGTTAACAATTGGCCAGGTTGTTTAAAACAATAATTTCAATAAACTGTTGTCGTAACCGGTTTTCGCCCGGGCACGAATTTTGTACTTACTTGGCGGGAAAAGTGATGTGAATAAATGGTTTTTAAAATAATTTGGGAGTCGCCATCGGCCTTTTGGGTTAGGTAGGTCGAATACCTAAAAATTATCTTTTAAAAGAGTTTTAAGAAAACATCAGTTAAAAGATGAACTGATCTGCGTTTATAACCAAAAATTAGTTCTTTTTAATAATAAAAAGGGATTTGTGGTCGGTTACGTTTAGGGAATGATTAGCACCCCTACAACGCCCAAAATTGGTACTTTTTAATTATAAATTGTCTCTATTATTAAAATTTAAAGATTCAAAAATATATTTAATTTATAATCCTATTATTTCAAAAAAATATTTATTTATTTAAAAATATCAGAAAAGAACTTCTAGGTGCCTTAAGACAACTCTTTCCTTTGATATTGATAAATATTAATTTAAATAATATTGTTTAATTTTTAATTTTAAAATATCAGAATAGGACATCCAGTTGTATTAAGACTGTCCTTTTCTTCGATATTAAATATTAAAAAATTTAATTACTATTTATTATATATATATTTAGGAATACATAAAAATATTTAAAAATATAAACAAGTAAACTTGAAATAAAAATACCATTAGAGTTATATATTTAAACACAATAAAATGCTAAAAATATTTAAAATAAATGACTAAATTATAGTAAAAGTAAAATTAAAAACCTAATTCATAATTAATCAAAATATTAGGGATTAAACATGCTATTTCTTTATTTTATCTATTTAGTGACTAAAATAAAATTATCTAAAATTCGGATATTATAATAAAATAAATTAAAAATATAAACTAGGGATTAAAATATTATTTATTAAAATTAAGGGATTAAATCTGTTATTTATCCTAAATATATTATTTTAATATAAAGGACTAAAATAAATAAAATTAAAATTTCAAGATCAAATTAAAAGTATTATGAATTCAATTTAGTGACTAAAATGTAAAGTTTACAAGTTCGGAGGACGGCGGACGGGGTTTAACTATTATCTAATTACGCGCATAGTCCTTCCCGAAACGACGTCGTTCGGGAAGGCCTATATAAGGTCCAAAACCGGCTGGCCCGAAGGGCCAGCTTCATTTCTTTATTTTTCCTCTCTCTCTCTTCTCTGAGAGAGAGAATTTTTCTCTCGCTTCTCTCTAAAACAGAGAGAAGCCAGCCGGCCGGCCACCGTCAAGTCCGCCGCCGGCCACCACATCCGGTGGTCGAAATATTTTTTTTACACTGAAATGTAGATCGGACCGTCCTAATGACGGTTCCGATAATCTTTTCTTTTAAACGGCTCCGATCGGAGAAAATCTAAAAAATATACCTCGTTTGTCGAAGGTTTTGGTGAGATCCGGTGGTCGGCTTCCTCGGTAAGTTTTTCTTCTTCCTTTTTCTTTCTTTTCTGTTTTTTTTTCTGCGTGGTTATTGAGATCGTTGGTAGCTTTTTTTATTTTGTTTCTCTGTATTTCTCTTCTCTCCGTTTCTGTCTCTCTTTTTTGTCTATGTCTTCCTCTCTTTTTTTCACAGGTTTCCAACGGTCAGTCTGAGGCGGCTGGCTAGAGGCGGCTGAGCATGGGATTAGGGTTAGGAAACCCTAACTGAAACCCTAAACGTTTTGGGTTTCAGTTTGGTTTGGGTTTTGGGCCGGTTGATTGGGCTTGTAATTTAATATTATTTAATATATATTAATAATAATAATAATAATGATAATAATAATAATAATGATAATAATAATAATTATTATTATTATTATTATAATATGGGTAAAAAATTAGTATCTTCAGCTGCCCCTCTTTGCTCATTCTTATGTTAACAAGAATAGGGCAAAGATGAAAAGATAATAAATTTTTTTATCCATTTGGCTTCACTTGATCATAATGGAGATATTGAATAAATTCTTCTCTTTCTTCAGATGAGTTCTTCTCATTATGAACTTTCTGCTGGGGATGATGCTGACCTCTTTCTTTCTGTGATAGAGTCATTCAAAAGGTTGAATAAGCTTTTGATGAGTTCTTCTCATTATGAACTTTCTCTAGAAAGGCTGATGCTAATCTATCTCCTTCTGTGATAGAATTATTGAACAAGTTCTTCTTATTATGAACTTCTTCTTCCTTCTTCAGATGACGAGTTCTTTTCATTATGAACTCTACCTGGCAATGTTGATACATCAAATGATGAATTCAAACAAAAGGTTGAACAAATTCTTCTCATTATGAACTTCTTCTTCCTTCTTCAGATGACGAGTTCTTCTCATTATGAACTCTACCTGGCAATGTTGATCCATCAAATGATGAATTCAAGCAAAAGATTGAACAAGTTCTTCTCATTATGAACTTCTTCTTCCTTCTTCAGATAAGTTCTTCTCATTATGAACTTTCTCTGGAAAAGATAATCCATCAATTTGATGAATTCAGGTAAAAGGTTGAATAAATTCTTCTCATTATGAACTTCTTCTTCCTTCTTCAGATGAGTTCTTCTCATTATGAACTTTCTCTGGAAAAGATAATCCATCAATTTGATGAATTCAGGTAAAAGGTTGAACAAATTCTTCTCATTATGAACTTCTTATTCCTTCTTCAGATGAGTTCTTCTCATTATGAACCTTCTCTGGAAAAGATAATCCATCAATTTGATGAATTCAGGTAAAAGGTTGAACAAATTCTTCTCATTATGAACTTCTTCTTCCTTCTTTAGATGAGTTCTTCTCATTATGAACCTTCTCTGGAAAAGCTAATCTATCAAATGATAGATTTGAATCTTTGCTAAAATCTTTGAAATTCCTGTTAAAAATTCAACAAGAATAAAAATGAATGAAAATGCATCTATTTTTGAAAATGCCTAAATATGATGCATGAATGTTAAATTGTTTGATTTCAGATTGGTGAATTGAGTATTTCTTCAATTGTAAAAACCCAATAAATCTTTCTTCTTCAAATCAAAGAATATATCATCTTTGACAAATGTAGATGTAGATATAATGTCACAAAAACTCTTGAGAATAAAACTCAATAGTATAAGCTCTTGAAAAGCTTGCATTCAGGCAACATGTTGATTCTGATAACAATTCATCTGATTATGAAGTGACCTTTCAAGATGATTTCATAGATATCGATAGTTCTTCTAATACCGAGAAATCTTGAATTCTGATTCTGATAAGGAGAATAAACTGTTATATTTGACAAAAATGGGATTTTCAAAGGCTGAAGCTTCAATAGCCATGTAGAAATGTGGTCCAGATTCATCAATTGTAAAATTGATAGATTTTATATGTGCTGCTCAAATGACTAAAGATGCTGATGCACTTCTTTCGGTAAAAGATGGGAAGCCATTATGTGATGATCCCAGTTACAAGCAAAGGCGAAACTTGTGCTATGATTTTTGGGAAAGGAAGAAGCAGAAGAAGCTTGAAAAGAAACTTCTTAATGAAGATGATCATGCAGTTCATCTTTTAATTCCAATGATTGGTTCAGTAGTTCTTACCAAACCAGATCAGATAACTCAAAGAACACTTCCAGAAGATGCTATTAGCACATTCATCTTTTAAATTCAATGATTGGTTCTGCCAAACCAGATCAGATAACTCAAAGAACACTTCCAGAAGATGCTATTGGCAAATTCATCTTTCAAATTCAATGATTGGTTCTGCCAAACCAGATCAGATAACTCAAAGAACACTTCCAGAAGATGCTATTGGCAAATTCATCTTCCAGTTAATGTTTGGATTAGGATATCACAATGCTTATTTGATGTAGAGCCAGAATTTGTAGATTCGAAGCATTTCCATGCTACTACACTGAAAAGGGCTATATTCATAATTCTGCCAATTAAGAACAGATTTTCTCTTATTCTGCTTCCTCCATGTGCTGATGCTTTTCCATTGACAAAGACATGATGGCTTTCATGGAATCCAAGAACAAAGTTGAATTGTTTATAAACATGTACAGGAAGTGCCAAATTGACAGAAAGGATCTGTAAGGCTCTTGAAGCTTATGACAATGAGCCACCTTTGAGTATCCAGAAGTATGTTCTTGATGAGTGCTGAAAATGGAATCTAGTATGGGTTGGAAGGAATAAAGTTGTTTCACTTGAACCTGATGAGGTGGAAATGCTTCTAAGTTTCCTTAAAAACCATACACAAGGATCTGTATAGAGACATGTTTCCCAGTGATATCAATGTCTTGTTTCTTTTTGCTGGAATCAGTGCTGCAAAGATCGCCTTCTACTGTCTTAGTATATCTTTGAAAACAGAGGTGCAAGAACTGAATGGTGATCGGTTGGAGCAATTGATGAGTAGATTTGGCGGATTCAACCTTGTTGTCGGTAGCATCTCGTGTAACAATCTTAATGCTCATGGCTTTAAGATGATGATGATTTGTTTATTTCGTATTCCATGTTTTTTAAAAATATTAACATAAAGTGATATTCAGAAATCTTTAAATTATTTCAAAATTATGTTAATTCATAGAAGAATAAATTGAATTTTCAAAAATAAATTGAATCTCAAATAAAAATGAACTTGAAATAGATAGAATTGTATTCAAAGTTATGACAAACATAAGAATGATAAAAATTCAAATGTCTCAACAAATTATTAGCATAAGTATTTCTAAATTAATCAAGTTGACACAATTTAGAGAAATGATGTAAGCTTTTGTCTGGAAGATCTCAAACGTTGTCAAAATGCTTGTAGCTGTGAAGTTTCTCCCAAACTGTCAAAATCTTAAGAGAGTTCAATTGCCAGATGCCTAATATCAACCTGCATTTGAGCCGCCTTTTCAGGTTTTCAACTCAAATCCTTCCTTTGGTTACAAGATGCCCTTTGCGGGTTTTCACCTTGACCCCCCTTTTTTCTTTTCTTTTCTTTTCTTTT